AGCCCTATATAAACCCTGTGCCTGTGCAGCTTGTCGCTGTCCTGTTATGCTCTTCCACCCTGGCAGAGGCAGCCACCCTCCTGGATTCTTCCCTCCCAATAAATCTTTAGAATGAGGTTTGGGTGAGACCTTCTTTCATCAAAGAGAAGTAACAAATTTTCACTGGAACCAGAGCGGAGCGGAGCAGGGCTGTTACTCTTTCACCTAGAATCCTTCCCTTAAGAAGCAGAATTGTTACACTCCCGGAGACTGAAGCCGAACTGTAACAACTTCGCTGGGGAAGCCCTCCCCTGCTTGCCAGAGCAGAGCTGATGATACACTAGGGAAGCCTTTCCCTGGAGCAGGGCTGTAAGCTGCTGTGTTTACTATGACCTGTGGTATTCCTTAGCTTCCGAGTGCCAGAATACCTTTCCATCCGAGCTGCCTCAATGTTTAGAAGACCCTATCTCACAAAGGTATATAATTTAATAGTAGTAATAGTACCCCACCTCAAAAAGGTATATAACAATAATGAGAAGAAAAAGAAGCCAGGGATACAAAGTGAGACCCTGTCTCAAAACTATAATAATAACAATAACACAATAAATAAGTAAACAAAATGAGGTAATGGCTCCGTTTGTAGAGCACCTGTCCAGACTGACCAAGGCCACCATCCCCAGTACCACATAAACCAGGCATGGCAGTGCAAGCCTGCCATTCTGACAACTGGGAGGTTGGAGAGGAAGACTGGGAATCCAAGGTCGTCCTTAGCTACACAGTGAGCTTGAGGCCAGCCTGAACTACACGGGACATTCCCAAACAAACAATAAATGCCTCACATGGCCCACAGTGCTGCTTGTGGAACCAGATGATGGTAACACATAAGCACCCAGATTTGAAACACCAGGCATGAGATAATAGTGACCCCCCAGGTAGCAGTTCTCTCAGGGACTGTATATTCCATTGTGAGACTTCTCTTGGATTACAAAGTAGAGTAACAACAATTTTGAGGGTGAGGCCTGACTGTGTGGGGGATGAAAATGCATGGAAGAGCAGATCCTAGAATTACCATGCAAGGTCAGGCTGAGGCTATGAGTTTGGGGTGGGGATGTTGGTAGTTGGCTGTCACTGTTCTTATAATCCATAGATTGCCTTCCCCCTCCACAAGATAGGGTTTCTCTGTGTAACAGCTCTGGTTGTCCTAGAACTAACTCTGTAGACCAGGTTGGCCCAAACTCAGAGATCTGCCTGTCTCTGCCTCCGGAGTGCTGGGATTAATGGTGTGCTACCACACCTGGAGTTTTTTTTAGACATGTGGTCAGGTCGGGTGGTAGTGGTGCATGCCTTCAATACCAGCACTTGGAAGGCAGAAGCAGGCGGATCTCTGTGAGTTCGACCCAGCCTGGTCTATAAGTGTTAGTTCCAGGACAGCCTCCAAAGCCACAGAGAAACCCTGTCTTGAACCCCCCCCCCCCCACCGCAAAAAAAAGAAGACACCTTTCTGGTAGTCACAAAACCATGGGCTCCATCCCCAGAACCATGGGTCTCCCCAGCATTTGGGAGGGGGAGGCAGGAGCTCTCTGAGTTTGAGGCCAGCCTGATCTGAGGGTGACCTGGGATCTTGTCTGCATAGTGAGGTTCTGTGTCAATAAACAAAACAAACAAACAAACAAACAATTCATTTCCAGTGCTGGGTACAGCAGCTCAAACCATTAAAAAATGGAATGAAGCAAAAGCTGCTTTCTAATCAGGCCAACGTTTTGTTTTTTGTTTTTTCTCTGTGTACCCCTGGCTGTCTGGAACTCACTTTGTAGACCAGGTTGGCCTCGAACTCAGTGATCCCCCTGCCTCTGCCTCCCTTTAAAGGGGGCACACCAACCCTACCTGGCTCCAGCCCAAAGCTTTTGTTTGGAGCAGAATCTCCCTGTGTAGCTCTGGTTGGCCTGGAACTCACCAACATCCCCCTGCCTATGACTCTGAAGTGCTAGCATTAAAAAGCTACCTATTTCGGAAGGAGGGGGTGGTGTTTTGTGGTGGTGGGTGTGTGTGTGTGTGTGTGTGTGTGTGTGTGTGTGTGTGTGTGTGTGTGTGTGTGTTTTCCCAATGCAAAAGCAAAGAGCCTGCTGGCGCATGCCTTTAATCCCAGCACTCGGGAGGCAGAGGCAGGTGGATCTCTGTGAGTTTGAGGTCAGCCTGGTCTCCAGAGCGAGTGCCAGGATAGGCTCTGAAGCTACACTGAAAAACCCTGTCTCCAAAAACCAAAAAAAAAAAAAAAAAAAAAAAAAAAAAAAAAAAAAAAGAGCCTTTCATTGTTTAATGAGCTAACCTCATTAGCTCGGGCCCATCATTCATTCATCGAGGCGGGTGGCTGGAGAAAGACCCTATTTTATGTTTTAATTAGACCACACGAGATCATCGGAAGGACCACTCAAGATTAGTGGAGCATGGAAGCTGGGGTGGGGCTAGAGTTCACCGAGGAGAGTACTTTCCCCGCAGGCACAAAGCCCAGAACCCATTCTGAGCAAGCGCTGCAGACACATGGGGGAGGTAGAGAAGCAGGATCTGGAGTTCAAAGCCATTCTGAGCCACTTGAGACGGCTCAGCGCACTGGCTGCTCTTCCAGAGGGCCAGACCACCTATGTGGGGGCTCACAACTGAGCTCTAGGGAATCCGATGCCCTTTTCAAGGCCTCCCTGTGCACTGCACAAAGTGGAGACTGTCAGGATTCTAACCTGGAGTTGTTTTCCCCATCTGTAAAATGAGGGGATTGACAGTTACCATTGCAGCATTCTGAAGGCTAATAGTTTTACTATTCCAGACATTCTCTCAGCATTGCTCAGAAAAATTATCAGGTCACCACATCCAACGAGCTCAAGTGATCTGGGGTAACTGGAGCGGGTAAGGAAGGGCAAGCGTGGGTTAGAGCGGCTGGGAGAGGGATGACTTCTTGGACCACACCAGGCCAATGCGAGTCTAGACTTGAGGGATCAAACCAGGCATTGGTGGCGCACGCCTCTAATCCCAGCACTTTCGAGGCAGAGTAAGGCGGATGTCTGTGAGTTTGAGGCCAGCCTGGTCTACAGAGCGGGTTCCAGGTCAGCAGGGGGCAATATCGTGAGCTCCTATCTCTAAATAAACAAATAAATACAATTAAAAAAATAAACTTGGAGGAGCAGCTAGGACATGTTGGGATCAGCAAGCAAGCTCAGCGGCTTCTCCAGTCAGGTCTCTGGACAGTAAATAGAGCACCCTGGTGAGCCAGTCAGGCAAATGCAGAAAGTCAGGCCCCGCTCAAAATGCCAGGCGCCCCTGGATCCTGCCCTGCTCCTGCAGGTGCTTTGGCGGTGCACCGGTCAGCATATCCCACCCTCTACAGCACTGGCCTGCACCCGGTATGTAAGCCCCGACCCTCATGGCTCCAACTTCACGGCTAGACAATTAGGCTCCGCCCAGGCCCGTAGGCCCCGCCCCATCACTATGTCGGGTCCTTAGTAAAAGGCTGAACTCCATCCGACCTCCACCCAACGCCCCCCACCCCACTCCTAGCCGAAAGAGACGCGGACTCCTACCTAGCCTCAAGCCGGCTAGGCCCCTCCCGACCCGTGGGAGAAGACTAGGCCACTAGCAGAAGGCTGGACTTCATCCTATCCCATAAACACCTACCCCATGGCACTGTCCCCATCCGTAGCAAAAGGCTGGACGTCATCGCCTCAGCCTGCTGGCCCAGCTCCTTAGCTCTGTCCCTCATGATTAGCAGAAGGTTGACCCCACCCCATCGCTCTGGTCCCGCCCCTAGCAGAAGGCCGGACTCTGCCCGCTAGCACAGGCTCCATCCTGTATGGCTCCTGCCTGCATCCCAGCCCACAGACTCCATCCAAAGCAAAAGATTGAACTCCTCCCTAGCCCAGCAGTGCGGGACCGTCCCAGTCCATAGGTCCGCCCTTAGCAGAGCCTGCACGCTCCACCTGGCCCTCAGGCTCGGTGACCCGGGCCCAGCCCAGCACGAGGAGGAACAAGGCCCCACCTCCTTCCCGTGGCTCCACCCACCCCAGCCCCAGGCCGACTGCTTCCCCGCACACAGGCTTCGCCCCAGCCCGTAGGCCTCGCCCCGCAAGCATGGTCCG